ACACATGACCTATATTTCTCTAGGTACCTGACAACCCTCGCCCAGCCCCTTGGACTCTAAGCTCCTTGAGGGCAAAAATCCCTGTCTTGGTCATTTTGTGCATCCCTCTATCCCAGCCAGACCTTGAGCATCCTAACAGCACAATTAAAACTTGGTAAGTGAATCCAGGAAGAACAGACCAGACACAAGCCATTAGGCCTGAGAGAAGGTTTTGGCAAAATAGAGGAGACAGGCAAAATGGAGTCCTCCCCACCTCTCCCCCCGAAGGTCCTGGGCTTCCTGGGTTTGAGGGCACAAGTGTTCCTCAGAGAGGCTGGGGCTGGGCCCCCAGGGCTGGGGTGAGGAAGATGGTGCCCCGCAGCCTCAGCCTCAGGCGTGCACCTCCCTGTGACCTTCTGTGGGTTTGAGGGATGTCTGTGGGTTTGAGTTAATTTTTCAGTTGAGTGATTCAATTGATTCATCGACAGTGGGCGAGGTGTGGACTCCAGACATTTGTGCTGTGTCAGCACTTCCCAGGGTCCAGCTGGCATGACACTCAGACATTGCCACCCTACCCACCGCGGTAACCTGAGATCCTCTCCAGGAGCCCCCAGCCAGCCCCTGCCTGCCCAGGGCATATGACTGGGGGCTCCTTTAGCCTGTGGCAGAGCATCAGAAGGACCTGTGGCAGGACAGTCCCTGTCCTCTCGCTCAGCCAGCCTTTGGAATGTCAGCACTGGAGTGCCCAGAAGAGGGCTGAGACCTGTATCCTAGCAGTGCTGTGACGGGGGGTCAGTTTGTACAACCTGGGATCTTCCTTTATTTACTGGGTACCTTGGACAGGATATTTGATCTCTCTCGGTCTCAAACCCTTCATCTGTAGGACAGGAAAAATCATATCAATTTCATAAGCTCTTATATGTGGCTTGGGGGACAAGAAGAGATAAACCAAAGCACTTACATACTTACTAGAGTCCTGGTGCACAAAATTCGTGCATGGGTAGGGTCCCTAGGCCTGGTTGGCAGTCTGGGCCAATTGGGGCCTTCTGGCTGCTGGCCAGGACCTTCCTTCGTTCCGCACCACCCCCTGGTGGTCAGCACACGTCATAGCGAGCAATCAAACTCCCAGTCTCCCTGTCAAACCCCCAAGGGAACACTTTGCATATTAGCCTTTTATACTGGAGCCTTCAGTCTTTGTGCCGCACCTGTGTATGCAAATTAACTGTCATCTTTGTTGGGTTAATTTGCATACTCATCTGATTGGGTGGTGGGCATAGTGGAGTGACACCAATTTGCATGTTTCTCTTTTATTAGTGTAGATGTATAGCCCATGGACACAGGCAATAGCGTGGTGAAGACCTGGCAGGGGTGGATAGGGCCTGGGAGGACAGGGGTAAAGGGCATAAATGGGAGACATCTGTAATACTGTGAACAATAAGAAATATACATTAAAATTGTTTTTCATAAGCTCAACTACAATGGCTCCATAGACTCTCGCCAAAGTCTTGACCATTGCCTACAAAACCCCTCCTGACGTGAGCCAGGTTGCCTTTCTGACCTTGTTTCCTCCACTCTTCCTTTCACTCATTGCATTCCCACCTGAGGCTTTGGGCATGCTGTTCCCTTTACTTGCTTTTCCCATCACTGTTCTCAGGGCTCACTCCTTCACTTCACTCAGGCCCCTCCTCAGATGGACACCTTAAAATCATACCTTTACCACTCCTTATACCCTTCACTTGCTTTATTTCTCTTCATAGCCCTTCCCATTGTCTGAAAGCATGTGATGCATTTGTTTGCGGTTCACCTCTGCTTGTCTTCTGCTCAACTCCATGGGTATGGAAACGCTGTCGTGTTTGCTGCTGTAGCTCCAAGACCAATGTTCTTATGTCACTTAGTAAACATTAAATACATCTATTTGAATGAACAAATGAGATAATGAAGGAAAGGCACTTATAGTGTCCAGGACTGAAGAAGTGCTCTCCAAGCAATGGTTGTTATGACTGTGGCATGAAGAAAGCCAGAGCCTCTAGCAGTGTCCTGGGCAGAGGTTCCATAGGCCTCTCTCCTGGCCCTTGAGAAAGAGAGACTCCAGGAGCAGAAAGAGAAAAGGACCATAGTGTAAACAACAGGCCACCCAGATGATGGTTCCAGATGGGATGGGTCAAGGGTTAAGAGTTGGAGAGTGGGTGAGAGGGAGGGAACAGAGAAAGGTTGACCACAATCCCAGGAAGGCCGGGGCCCAAAAACCAGCTACGGCTAAACTGATCTGGAAAAACACAAGCCAGTTTGTTGCAGGCAACACTAACTTGGTGAAAACCACGTAGAAGAGCGTGCAGGACAAAGGGGGAGAAAAGGCTGGTCCCAGCACCTCCTTCCACATCCAGGAACCCAGGACCTCCTACAGTTCCCGGTCAGAGCCCATCCCCCAGGAGT